ATATTAAAAGATACTCAACCTCATTATTAACCAGCGAACTAAAAATTACAACAATAAAAGTCCATTGCAGCCATCATATTGGTAAAAATTTTAAAGTCGGATCTAACAAAATGTTTATTACTTGGTCATTAAAATATCACATACTCTCTCCTATAATCTCCACTAGATCGAATAAAATATCTAAATAGCAAAGAGTAAAAATACTGCTTTCAGAATGCAGAGGTAAATTAATCAGTTTATATGATTTCATTATCAAGAAGAAATGATAAAGTGTTAAACCAACTGTCCAATTAAGAAAGTTAGAGAAAAGATCAAACAAACAGGAAAACAGAAAAAAGAAAATAATGAAAAATAATGCACAATCTAGTAATTGCCACATAAACAAAACTGATAAATAAATCCAAAGATAGTTGGAAGGAGAGGGGAAAACCAATAATAAAATAATAAAATTAAATAAAAATCTGATCAACATAAAAAAGAAAAACTCAAAAAAATAAAATAAGGAATGAAAGAAAAGCTATATCTGAATCCTTTTTAATCCTAATGAGGTAAACTGGTTTCTTGGAAAATAAACATTGCCAAAACAGACTTAAGAAGTATTAATATTACAAGCAAGAACAAACCAAATGAATGTTATTAAAGAACTATTTCCAAAAATAGTTCTAGGGCCAATGAATGCTACTGAAAAGTGCAATCAGATGTTCACAGACATAGTCTTTTCCATGCTATATAAACTGTTCAAGGACTGAAATGCTATCCAACCCATTTGAGACAATTAGCAATAATCCTGATATAAAATAAACACAGCAAAGTTCATAAAAATAAAGATGAATCTCAGATTATTGAAGGTGCATTATTAATCAGATGTGTCTATTCTGTTGGAAAAGAATAAATTTGTTGAGTTAACAGAAATGTAAATGCATAAAGTTGAGCACATTCACAGGAATATGTATAAGCCATCAAGACCTTGTGATGAAAAGTCAAAATTAGGAGAGGAAATAAATCAAATATTTACATTCTTACAACTATAAAATGAAGTGAGCACAAAGCACAGAAAGACTTCACTAAATGAGGCTAAGAAAGTTTGAAAGGGCAATAACAAATGCTGGCAAAGATGTGGAGAAAAGGGAACCCTCAGACACTGTTGGTGAAACTGTAAATTAGTAAGGAAGTTCCTGAAAAATTAAAAGCAGAGCTACCACAAGAGCCAGCAATCCCACTCCTAGGTACATACTCTAAAGAAAGGAAATCAGTATATTGAAGAGATATCTGCACTCCCATGTTTATTGCATCACTATTCAAGCCAAGATGTGGAATAGCAATAGCCAAGATGTGGAAGCAACCTAAATGTTCAGCAGCAGATGAATGGATAAAGAAAATGTGGTAGACATTTCACAGAGTGCTATTCTGCCATAAAAAAGAATGAGAGCTTGCATTTTGTAACAACATGGATGAAAATGAAGGTCATTGTGTTAAGTAATCCGGGTAAAGAAAGACAAACTTTGCATATTCTCACTTATTTGTGGGAGCTAAAAATTAAAGAAATGGAGGCTAGGCACAGTGGCTCACACTTGTAATCCCAGCACTTTGGAAGCTCAAGGCAAGTGGATCAGTTGAGCCCAGGAGCTCGAGACCTACATGAGAAACAATGAGAGCCTGTCTCTAATTTTAAATAAATAAATAACTCAAACAAACAACTGAACTTATGGAGAAAGAAAGTAGAAGGATGGTTACTAGAGGCTGTGAAGGGTAGTGGGGGCAGGTGGGGCAGAGAGTGGGGATAGTTAATGCATACAAGAAATAGAAAGAATGAATAAGACCTAGTATTTGCTAGTACAACAGGGTGACGGTAGTACAAAATAATTTAATCGTACATTTTAAAATAATTCAGAGTATAATTGCCTTGTTTGTAACACAAAGGATGAATGCTTCAGTGTTATATATACCCTATTTACTCTGATGTGATTATTACACATTACATGCCTATATCAGAATATCTCATGTAACCCATAAATACATACACAACTACGATGTACTCACAAAAAAATTTTTTTTAATTTTTAAGAGGTTGAAACACATTTGTATCACTCCTAGGGCCCTTCAGTAGCCTCCTATACCAAGTTGATGATAATATCACTAGAGAAACACCATACACAAACAAAATTCAGTGGTAAATGAGAGATGGAGTCACATGGGTTCAAACTGTTTTGAATCACTCTCTGAGGCTATCACTGTGATGGTACCCACTCATAAGGGCTTTTAGTAGAACAGATTTTATAGACAACTATCATACTCGTTAAAGCCAGTAGATCACATGTAATACATAAACAAAAAATTGGTGATGAAATGTTACACCAATTATGAAATTGTGCATAGGCTTTAGAGGGTGTGAGGAAGGGGAAATACGTGAGAGAAAGATTCACAGAGGAAGTAATATTTGCACAGAATCTGCTTCCGCTCATCTGCTTAATTTCACCTCAGGGCTGTTCTGTCTTTAACCTTCAAATCCTAGTTTTGTTTGGTTGGTTATTAGTATGCTGTTTGGTTGATTATTTAAAGAAGGCATTATGATTTGCTTACTATTTCCCAATGCCAATACATTTCTGTAGAAATGAATTTTTTTTTTCCAGGTTTCACTTTAATAGAATACTCTTAACTATTCTGTACAAATTGAAAACACTGTATTGAGTTACAAATGTGTTCTAAGTTTAGGCTGTGCGGACATCCCCGACTGCCGGAGAGCGCCATCACCCACTGGAAACCCCACCCGCCAGCCACCAACAGGTCACACCGAAGCCAGGACCCTCAGACAGGATGAATGGTGGGGCCCAGCAAGGGGGCTCCTGAGAAAGCAGGACTTGACGCTCATACAGTCAACTGAAACCCAGGGCTCATTTCTAGGGCTCATTTTTGTGAGCATTGCGCTTACACGAAAGAGAAAAATGTATCTTCTTAGGACTGATTCTTACAAATTTGATACAGCTATAATTTATAACTTACATGGCCAAGCCCTGCTAGAAGTATCTTACAAAGGGTTTGACACAAAAGCTTGACCAAGCTGTGAAAAATCTCTCAAAGTAATTAATACACTTCTTGACACTATTACTGGAAACTTGATAAACTAAGAAGAGAAAAATCTCTCAAAGTTGTTAGTACACTTCTTAAGTATTACTGGAAACTTGATAAGCTAAGAAGAGAATTTTGACCAGGTATCACAAGAAATTTGTATTGGAGACTTCTAAGAATAAGCATGTACTACTTCACACAGTCAGCTACAAGAAGGTGTCAGGACATTAGTGCTATTTTCTTAACATCTTGTTGATTAATAATTCTTCCCTTTGCACACAAGGTAGAAAATTTTACCAAGTAAAGATTTTAGACTTGCTTTAGTTTAATTCATCTCGCATTCCTTCATTTCTATCCTCTCTCTCATATATTTCCTTCTCAGGTCTGATTCCCTAAATGTGGAGCTTCAACCCCCAGAGGATTTTTTTTTTTTTTTTTAAGAGACAGAGTCTTGCTTTGTTGCCCAGGCTAGAGTGCAGTGGCATGATCTAGGCTCACTGCAACCTCTGCCTCCCGGGTTCAAGCGATTATCCTGCCTCAGCCTCCTGAGTAGCTGGGATTACAGACACCAACAACCGCACCCAGCTAATTTTTGTATTTTTAGTAGAGACAGGGATTTCACCATCTTAGCCAGGCTGGTCTCGAACTCCTGACCTCATAATCCACCCTCCTAGGCTTCCCAAAGTACTGGGATTACAGGCATGAGACACCGTGCCAGACCCCCAGAGAATATTTAACCTTGTCTCCTCCTCCATACTGCTGCATTCCCCGACACTTCTCTTTCCCTCTCTTTCCATCCGCCTGAGGAGATGAGAGCAGTACACAGAAAGTAGCTCCCAGCTGTAGCTCAACCGTTAAACACCAAGAGAAAGGAAAATGAACTCTGCCAGACTTAAATCAATTAGAAGATTCCTTTGAAACCTAAACACATTTTTAATTTTCACAGCCCTCTTCCCTACTCAAGATGACATCAACCTCATATTAGTTTTACCTTGTATGCATTTCTCAATAGTAAAACCATTAGTCAGTAGCATCTGAATGTACATTGATACAGTGGGTGTTTTGTAGTAATTATAAGGTAATTACTTCCTATCCTTAAATAAGTGTCATTTTCACGAACAAAATAGGATAAACAACAATACAGTGTACATAAAACAACTACCATCTGCCCAAGAGACGCCAGAACAGCCTGTTAATCAAAGAAAGCTAAATTTACTAAATCTACTACAGTAAGGGAGGCCACACTTTGATGGAAGCTTGGCAGTCTTAGGAGGAGAAGGATGGGGGTGATATTTATAGGATTTGGGGAGTCTCAGCAAAAATGGTTTAAAACAGGTCTTTTGAGGCACGGAACAGTTTGAGGGGATTAGGTAAAGTGTTTGACCTAACAGTTAAGGGTCAGTGATAGAGTAATCAACTTTTCCTTATTTCCTAGGACTTTCCCAAGTTTAGCACTAAAAATCCTCCAACTGGAGAATCCTTACAGTCCTGGGCAAACTAGGACCATTGGTCCCCCTAATTAGTGGGCACACCGTTGCAAGATTGCCGGATAATTTGAGCAGCAATACCAGATGCAACTGACAAAACATAGCAGCCCATCTTCCCAAGGCTGAACACAAAGTTTATTGACGCATTCACATTTCCAGCCTCTATTTGACAAAATACTGCATGCCTATGTGCGTTCAACCCACATCCTAGTAATAAAACTTAATTTAAAAAATATTTGTATTGCGGTAAGGTATATAAAACATGCATTAGACATTTTAACTACTTCTATGCATACAAGTGAGTGGCATTAATTACATTCACAATGTTGAGCGACCATCACTTAATTTTTTTAAAGGACGTTTATATTCACTCATCTATCAATGTAGTAGGCCGTGTCCTAGGCGCTAGGGATTCCATGTTTAGCAAAAAACGTCACGAACAACAACATGCCTTCACATGGCCTTCATGGACCACCGCAGGTGCTCTTTTTCCCCTGAGTCTTTATGTACTTGGGAAAAGTGGCCAAGGTTGAAAGATGCAATGGGTACACGACGATGTCAGAGAGGTTCCCACCCAGACCCCGTCTAGAAGCAGTGCAGTGCAGGGACCGTTCCACAACCCCCATTCCAGAGTCGGAGGTGGGCAGGCCCTCCGCCCCGCTTAGGAGGTGCGACTGGCGGGGGCGGGGCCTGGGCAGAGGCAGTGGGCGTTCCCGGGGCGGGGCTGTGCCGGGGGCGGGGCGGAAAAGCCGCGGATGGGGACTGACCTGGGCCTGCGCCGGACGCCGCCGGGGCCGCGGTGGCGGTCGCGGCCTGGTGCTGCAGCTTCTCTTTCCTTCCGCTCTATGGCGGTGGCGGCCTGACTAGGAGCCGGAGTGGGATGCGGCTGACGCGGAAGCGGCTCTGCTCGTTTCTTATCGCTCTGTACTGCCTCTTCTCCCTCTACGCTGCCTACCACGTCTTCTTCGGGCGCCGCCGCCAGGCCCCGGCCGGGTCCCCGCGGGGCCTCAGGAAGGGGGCGGCCCCCGCAAGGGAGAGGCACGGTCGAGGTAGGACGTTGGCTGCAGCTTACCTAGCGCGCTGGCTCGGGAGGTCCAGGGCCGGGGTTGGTCGGAGCGAGCCGCGCAGCCGCGGACTCTGCTCTCAGGTCCGGGATTACCCGCCGGGCCTGAGACCCGCCCTGTCCCCTAAAGCCTCTCGAGCCAGCCCTGGGGTGGGGATTGAAGAATGGTCTTTATTCTTACCCGCATCTCAAAGGCCGTCCCCGCTCCCCAAGGGGGTGACAGGCGCGCAAGCCTTTCGAACACGTGTTAAAATCCAAGACGTCTCAAATGCCAGAGATTTGCGGGAATACTGGAAGGCCCCAAATCGCTGCAAGGTTTAAGACATCCGTTTCCATGTTGAAACAGAGCCTTCTCTAATTCTGCAGTGACCATAAGGCAGGCTTTACCTCCAAATTCTGGTCCCCTGTCCTGTGTTTTAACTTGTGTTAGGATCAGACTCAGCTTCTCTCTCCATTAGGAGTTTTGCACAATAGTATTTAAGACTGGTGGACACTACACTCTGAATTCAGGTTTTTTTATGCACAGGTTACCTGTATACAATGGATAAATAATTGCAAGAAAGCCTGTAACTTGATACATATTATCCATTTTTTTTTTAAATCTGGTTTTTGAAGGTTTTGTTTTTGTGAAGAGAATTTTCCTGTCTCAAGTTAGCATTTTATTTTCTAAGACCTTGCAGAGTAAAAAAGTTCAGTAAAAAATTGCTGATTTTCTTTTTTAATTGTGTGGGTATAACCAGTTTAAATTCATTTGCTCTATCTCTGAAAAATTAAAAGTTAGGATGAAATTAGAACTAACACTTAATGTAAATGATTTGAATTTATCTACAACTGTAATAATGCCTTACTGGTAAACACTGTTACTCTTTTTAAAACAGAACAGTCCACTTTGGGAAGTGAAGAGTGGAATCCTTGGGAAGGAGATGAAAAAAATGAGCAACAACACAGATTTAAAACTAGCCTTCAAATATTAAATAAATCCACGAAAGGAAAAACAGACCTCAATGTACAAATCTGGGGCAAAGCTGCCATTGGTAAGTTAATATGTAGAAGGAAGACATGTAAAACGCATTGTAAAATGTACCTTATTGATATGAAATTATTTTAATAATTTATCTCATAATTTGTTAATTAAGGCATCATATTTTTTTCTCACTTTTTGTCAATAATGCCTTTCTCCTTTCAAGTAGACAACATCTGTTTGCAAATGTACACCCATACATATTCCACTGTTGGTCTTTAGCAGAGCATAGCTTCATTTATCAATACAGTGAGTAGGCTGTATAGTGTCATTAGATTGCAATATATATGCAAACCGAATTTTCATGACTCTGTGTATTTTTTGGACCCTTGATACACAAGTACAAGATGCGGCCTCTGCCCTTGATGGCCAAAGACATTTGGGAAGCACTGAAGAGAACAAAGTTAAACAGTGTTCTTCATTGCAGGCCTATCTCAAGAGCCTTTAATATGACAGTGTTCATTGTATTAATATAGTATGTAGTTGATTAAACTTGATTGCCCACAGAAGCATTTTTGCTGTGAATATCATGAGAGTGTATTGTTCTAAGATATATATTATGCTCAATTAGAGAATGGGGCTATGAGGGTTAGAAGAGTCACAAAGAATTTAGTGACTTAGCAAGCGCTTTAGCCTTTGAACATGAGTTGGGTTTATGTACAATAAGGGGTATGGATGGAAAGTGCCAGATGAGACGAAAATGTACAGAGCATAGTGCTCTGCTCATGGTATTTCATAAATTCGTTCAGACTTACATACACATGTACATCCTTGAAAATTCCCACCAACCTCTAAATTTCAAGTACCTGAACCCAGGCCTTCAGCCATCAAGTTCTAACAATTTTTTTAAAATAAAGTCTCTAATACTAATTTTTTCTTTTAAATCTCAGATTTTTATTTCCAGACTTCTCTCTTTTCAATCTGATAAGTGCAAAGTGGTCAAGTGAATTTCATCAAATGCTACCTTTTTTTTTTTACACCTCTTCTGCAGGAATTAGGTATGAAAAAGAAAAAGAAAACACCTCTGCTGGCAGGAAAAATGTTACTTTCATCAGCCTATTCTCTAGGCACAGTTATAAAATACCAGTTATAGACATTCCCATTCAAAAAGGGGGAAAAAATGGAAGTAAAAAAGTATCACTTGTCCGAGCAATTTTGAAATCTAAATTCCATCTAAATGGCCAGCTCCATTAGATGATATTTCAGGCCTAGGAATAATCTGTGGCTTGTACAGCTTTGCCCTCTGGCATTTCAGCTACACTCCTAAAGTCATCTTTCCTTCTTCACAAAAAGTAGCACAAGTTTGCAGCTTAGTAATTTTATCAGCCTGTTGCCAGCTGGTAAAATTTTCAGAGCCCATCAGCCACCTTTCATTGTGACCTCTCTCTGTCTTTTTTAGTCCAAGCTGGCAGTGTTTCTGCTCACATAACATTCTGAAGAACCTTGTGGGCCTCCTGTGTATGTCACAGGATTCACTCCATTAGATGGGAAGCTCATCTACAGATCATTTCTGAGTAATCCCATCTTCATTCCTGGCTTCTGCTGAGATGGCTGAGGAAACCTGTAAGTCACATGTATAATCTCTTCAAAGAGATCTCTGTGTGAATGAATATTCAGATCTTCTGATCCTTCTGAGACACTAGCAAAAGGTTGTGCAGCCACATCCTTGGTCTTCTTTCTGGAACACCCTTTCCTGACAGTAAATCCAATTTTTCACCTGTTTTGCAATCTTAATGGTCCAAGAAGTTTCCAGATCATCAAAATCTGATTCCCTTTTGCCTAACAAATTTTTCCTTCAATCTCTTTCTTACATTTCACTAATCAGCAAGAAGAAACCAGTCCATACCTTTCACTTTGCTTGGAACCCTCCAGCTAGTTACTGAAGTTTATCACAAGTTCTGCTTTCCACATAACTGCAGGATACAATCCAGCTAAGCGTGTTACTATAATATAACAAGGATCCTCATCCTTCTAGTTTCTAATAACACATTTCTGATTTTCTTCTGAGCCCTGAGCAGCAATTTCTTTAATTTGTATATTCTAGGTATGGTTTCTCACGCCTGTAATCCCAGCACTTTGGGAGGCCAAGGCAGGTGGATCACTTGAGGCCAGGAGTTCAAGACCAGCCTGGCCATCATGGTGAAACCCAGTCTCTACCAAAAATACAAAAATTAGCCGAGCATTGTGGTGCGTGCCTGTAATCCCAGCTACTCAGGAGGCTGAGGCAGGTGAATCGCGTGAACCCGGGAGGTAGAAGTTGCAGTGAGCCAAGATCATGCCACTGCATTACAGCTCAGATGACAGAGCAAGACTGTCTCAAAAAAAAAAAAAAAAGCATATTCTTACCAACAATCTGCTTATGATCATTTAGATATCCTCTAAGACAAAGGTTTTCTCTACTTTGCCTTACTTTCTTGTGTCTTCACTAGCTGAGTCATTAAACTCCATATTTCTATCTGCAGTTTATTCAAGGCAGTCTAATCTAGGCTTTTAAAAATCATGTCCTCACAGTTCTCCCAGCCTTTCCCCATTACCCAATTTCAGAGTCATATCCGCATTTTTAAGTATTTGTTACAGTAGCACCCCATTTTCAGGTACCCTAATCTTAACTGCATAATCCACAGCATCCTATTGCAGCCATAACAAATTTCCACAAATTTAGTATCCTACCTTTCTGAAGGCAGAACTCTAAAATGTGAGGGGGCTGTGTTACTTTTAGAGGCTCTAGAGAAGAACCTGTTTCCTTTCCATTTAGAGTTTCCAGGGGCTACCGTATTCCTTCACTTAGAGCCCCACATCACTCTGACCTCTGCTTCCATCTTTACATATCCCTTTCCTCATTCTGACCCTCCTGCCTCCCTTGTGTGAGGACTCTTGAGATTACATAGGGCCCACCCAGATAATCCACGATAATCTCTTCACCTCAGCATCTTTAACTTAATCATATTTTAAAGTGTTTTGCCATTCAAGGTAACATATTCATAGATTCTAGAGATTAGAATATGGACATCTTTGCTGATTGGACAGGGAGAATTATTTAACCCATCACATTTGGAAAGCTTTATCTAATTGGCCACATTTTAAATGGTGATTTGGGTTTCCTTTAGTACCAGGGTACAATGTGAGTGGAACAAAATACATCTCTGAGTGTAACCAAAACAGGGTTCCCTGAGGTGTTGTATGGTCTCCATATTGCCTCACTGCTCTCTTCTACCCTTAGAGCTTTCATTCAGGTGAAATCATGATAAAACAGGGGCTGCCATAAAGACAAGGATGTAGTGGCATTTGTCTGTGAGGGGATCATGCATTCAGAGATACGTGTTCAAGTGAGGAGGAGGTAATATACCCTTGACATATTAATATATGTAAATACCTGAGCTCCTCTGGCTCCATTTGGCACAAAATGGCAACTCCCCCTAAGTTATAAAAATAGTTCTAATCATACAGTAGTTTACTTTGTAATATAATACATTTCATTTCAGAAAAAGACAGGTAGTAAACATCCAGACAAATTAGGGGGTTCTCAAATCTAGAGTAGGAGAGGTCTTTAATATTAACTCACATTTTGCCACATTTTACACACTGACAGCTTCTGAACTGTGTCTCTCATTAGCTGCCATGTTGATGATTTGGAGCTGTTGCTTACTAGCACTGCCTGCCAAAGACTCAAAGAGGAGGAGTTCTGGTTTTATAGTCTATGAGTAAACGAACAGAAAATAAACTTGTCTCATGCACCAGAGTAGATAAGATAGTAAATTGTTCTGATTTTGTTTTTGTTGTTGATTACCAGGATTATATCTCTGGGAGCATATTTTTGAAGGCTTACTTGATCCCAACGATGTGACTGCTCAATGGAGAGAAGGAAAGTCAATTGTAGGAAGAACGCAATACAGGTATTAGTTATGTTAGTTGTGCAACATTAATCTTTGATATCTTGCTCTACAATATTTTATATAAATACAAGAAAAATAAGAGAAAATATATTCATAAAAATATTTCTATTTCAACTTGTAAAGAAGAGGGAAGTAAATCTCATAAATATGTATTCATAGTTAAGCTTACTTGGACCTCTTCTTATGAAACTGGATATAACAGAATATTCCTTTTTTGGCATCATGTGTCTCTTTTATTTTTATCTAATTATATGGAAAAGTTCATGGTCCACACCTTACATCATTTGAATAGTGACAACCATTTAAAACATTCTGTATCTTGGAGGAATAATATGTAAACTTAAAAGTATTTTCATTTTTCTCTTTCATATAATAGTCATGTTCACTTTTTAAAATATTTAGGTGGTATCAAAGCTGTTGCTATCACTTTTCAGATTGTTATTAAAACAAATTTGATGAGTTCTATCAGGATGTAATGGTATAGATTACCATTTTCCTGAAATTTTATATATATATATATTTTAGATTTACTAAAACCAGTGTATAGCTTAGACTTTTTTGGCCTTTTTACGTAACTTCTATCTGTGACTGCATATTTTCTGAGTGTTTTTAATATGTTAGGATTATTTTATTTAGGAAAACTATAATTTTATATGAAATGCTATTTTATCAGATTTTGCTTATTAAAACTTTAGTTTTAAATGTTTATTTTATATAACAATTATATTATTGGGGGAAAGTGTGAACTACGTTTTTGGAATATTCTGAATCCTTTATTGTCATTTCACCAATGTTCATAGAATCGTATCTTCACCAGAAGTAGATGCCATGTCAGGAAACCACCTTGTTTGCTCATTCATAAAACGCAACTCCTCATCTGTTAAAGTTTTATCATGAGATTGCAGCAATTCAGTCAGATCTTCAGGTTCCACTTCTAACTCTACTTTGTTTTTGCCATTTCTACCACATCTGCAATGACTTCCTCCACTTAAATCTTGGACTCCTCAAAGTCATCCATGAGAGTTTAAATCAGCTTCTCCCAAATTCCTTATAATGTTGATATTTTGACCTCATCCCATGAATCATGAATGTTCAGGGTATCCAGAAGGTTGTCAGTTTGCCCAGACCCATCAGAGGAATCACTGTGGCAGCTGTAGCCTTATAAAAAGTATTTCTTTTGTTGTTGTTATTTGTTTTTTGTTTTTTTTTTTTTGAGACAGAGTCTTACTTTGTTATCCAGGCTGGACAGCAGTGGCGCAATCTCAGCACACTGCAACCTCCACCTCCTTGGTTCAAGTGATTCTCGTGCCTCAGCCTCCCAAGTAGCTGGGACTATAGGCTGGCGCCACCAAACCCAGCTAATTTTTGTATTTTTAGTAGAGATGGGGTTTCATCATGTTGGCCAGGCTGGTCTCGGACTCCTGACCCCAAGCAATCCACTCGCCTCAGCCTCCCAAAGTGCTGGGATTACAGGCATGAGCCACCATGCCTGGCCAAAAAGTATTTCTTAAATGAGACTCGAAAGTCAAAATTACTCCTTGATCCATTGGCTGCAGAGTGGATATTTTGTTAGCAGGTATGAGGACATTAATCTCCTCTGCATCTCCATCAGAGCTGTTGGGTGACCAGGTGCATTGTCACTGAGCAGTAATATGTTGAAAGGAATCTTTTTTTTCTGAGCAGTACTTCTCAACAGTAAGCTTAAAATATTCAGTAAACCATGCTGTGAACAGATGTTGCTGTCATCTAGGCTTTGTTTTTCCATTTATAGGGCACAGGCAGAGTAGATTTAGGTTAGTTCTTAAAGGTCCTGGGATTTTCAGAATGATAAATGAGCACTGGCTTCAACTTAAAGTCACCAGCTACATTTAGCTTCTAATAAGAGTCCTTTGAAGCTTTGAAGCCAGGCATTGACACTTCTCTCTAGCAATGAAAGCCCTAGATGTCTTCTCCTGATATAAAGCTGTTTCATCTGCACTGAAAATCTGTTGTTTAGGGTAGCCACCTTCATCAATGATCTTAGCTAGATCTTCTGGATAACTTGCTGCAGCTTCTACATTAGTACTTGCTGTTTCACCTTGCACTTTTATGTTACAAAGATAGCTTCTTTCCTTAAACCCCATGAATCACCCTCTGGTAACTTCCGACTTTTCTTCTGCAGCTTCCTCAACTTTCTCAACCACCATATAATTGAAAAGACTGGAGGCCTTGCTCGGGATTAGGCTTTGGCTAAGGGAATGTTGTGGCTGGTTTGATCCTCTATCCAGACCATTAAACCTTTCTACATATAAGCAATAAGACTGTTTCACCTTCATGTCATTCATTGTTCACTGGAGTAGCACTTTTTACTTCAAGAACTTTTCCTTTGCATTCCCACCTTGGCTGTTTGGCACAAGAAGCCTAGCTTTCAGTTTGTCTCAGCTTTCAACATTCCTTCCTCACTAAGTTTATTTCTAGCTTTTGGTTGCAAGCCTGTCCAACTCGCCTTATTTTGTTGTTGTTATTCTGTTTTGTTTTGTCATAGGCTTTTAGCAGCCTGAAGCCATGGCTTTTAGTTTCTTTAGTAATAAGCAGAAAAGAGGGATAAGGAAGGGGCTTTACTGGCCCAACCAGAAACAGAAACCAAGAATCCATGACTGTATTCTTTCCCTTGGACACTCCTGAAAGTGAGAGACTTGCAACTCTTCCTTTCACCTGAACACTTAGAGGGCATTATAGGGTTATTAATTGGCCTAATAGCGTTATGTTTCAGAGAATAGGGAGGCCCAAGGAGATGGGGAGAAATCGGGGAACACTGGTTGGTGGAGCAGTTAGACCCCACAAACAGCATTTATCTATTAAGTTTGCCATCTGTATTAATCTTTTTTCATCCTGCTGATAAAGCCTGGGCAATTTACAAAGAATGAAGTTTAATGGACTCACAGTTCCACATGGCTGGGGAGGCCGCACAATCATGGCAGAAGGTGAAAGGCATGTCTCACATGGTGGCAGACAAAAGAAGAAAGCTTGTGCAGGGAAACTCCCCTTTATAAAACCATCAGATCTTGCAAGACTTATTCATTGTCACGATAATAGCATGAAAAAGACCCGCCCCCATGATTCAGTTACCTCCTACTGGGCACCTCCCACAACACAGGAATTGCGGGAGCCACAATTCAAGATGAGATTTGGGTGGTGGCACAGGCAAACAATATCATCGTCTCATAGTGAGCACATGCTACTGGAAAAATGGTACCAATAGAAGTGCTTGACTGGGGGTCACCACAAACTTTCAATTTGTAAAAAATGCATTATTTGCAAAGTACAATAAAGTGAAGCACAGTAAAATAAGGTATACTGGTATTACGGCCAGATAGTAATACCATTTCCTCTTAGGATTTAAGATAACTATATTCAAGGAAGGTCACCATTATATGAGATTTTTATAAACAGCCTGTTAAAGTTTTAGGTTCTTGAAAAGTAGCATATTTATCAACAATTAATAAACTTTTATGAAATTGCAAGTTTTGAGTTGCATCAGCTATATGGGTACCAACTTAAGTGTTTCCATACATTCACCATCCTTATTTGACCAAAAGTGAATCAGAAGTAATGGCTTACCTTGAAGATATTGAAAGAATTTCTAAGTATTGTTAAGATACTTGTTGAAAAGAAGTATAAATACATTTTGTTTAAATAAACAGATGAGCTTATGTCATTTAATAGTAGCCTTAAGACAATTCTAAGACAGAAGTAGAAAGGGTATCATCAGCGTTCCAGGGCTCATCAGGCTCAGGAATGCTAATTTTCATCAACACATAGGTCCAAAGAATGTATTCCAGCATACCAAATAAATGATACAGAATGGAAAGAGAGCTGTCAGTTAGGCCATGCATTTGTATTGGTTTGACTGACACTTTCTTTCCATACAGGCAGGCTACAAGTGATAACCAGTTAAATGAGGGTTGATTACTTATGGAACCATAAAATGGGATTTAATTATATGTAGTGCTTTTAACTGTTTCAGAAAGACAGAAATATGACTCCTTGTTCACCACTGAATCAGTAACATCATCCATAGGCTGTGCTCAGAATATGAATGCATGAATACATACAGGCTTAACTGAACTTCTGGATGAGGCTGATGAAGCCCCATCACCTGTGGGCAGTGTAGCATGTGACTGAGTTATTGAAAGCACAGACTCTGAAGCCAGACTATCTTAGTTCAAATTCTTTTATTTTTTTGAGACAGAGTCTTGCTCTGTTGCCCAGGGTGGAATGCAGTGGCGCCATCTTGGCTCACTGCAACTTCTACCTCCCAGGTTCAAGCAATTCTCCTGCCTCAGCCTCCCAAATGGCTGGAATCCCAGGTACCCACCACTACAACTGGTTTTTTTTTTTTTTTTTTTGTATTTTTAGTAGGGACAGGGTTTCACCATGTTGGCCAGGCTTATCTTGAACTCGTGACCTCGTGATCTGCCCACCTTGGCCTCCCAAACTGCTGGAATTACTGGTGTGAGCCACCATGCCTGGCCTAGTTCAAATTCTTGTTGTGTCACTTTGCTGTCTGACCTTGGGCAAGTTTCTTAACCTTTCTGTTTCAGTTTCCTCAAGTTTAAGGCAAATAACAGTTCGTATTTCACAAGATTATTCCAAAGATTAAATGTGTTAATAAATTACAGGGCTTAGAATAGTATCTGACACATAGTAATCACTGTAGAAGTCTTGCTGCTATTTTATTATTTTTAGTGTTACTTAACTAAGTACTGCAACATCTTCCTAGCTAGAGCAGTTCCCCTTTTTCTGTTTCCATTACCGTCTCATATCCCTCCATCATATACCTGCCCACAAATGCCTCATTGATACATTCTTTATATTAATATGTTCAATTAAGTTTTGAGCTAGCCTGAGAGCTATTCTGTCTCTTGAAGGAACTTTGCCTACCACCACTCATATCCATCATCTGTTGATTTATAGTTTAATCTCAGAGGACAACTTTATTTTTAATTTCTTAGGAGTAC